CAGCTAAAATATTTACTTGAAATCCTTCTGAGATATTAAGTTAATATTTCAATAATTTAAGGACACATTCACATGTTGGTTAATGGTCACGTGACATGCAGGTAAACAAATTGTATTGACTTTTTTTGTAGGTGTTTTATTTAGATTTTACTTTTTCATTATTTAATTATTATTATTATGAATTACTAATTGTCAGGTTGAAAGTTTTGTTTATTTTGTTTAGGAGCAGTGCTATTACTATTATAGTTTTCATTAATATTTTAATAATTCAGTTTTTATTTAATTATTACTAATACTATCATTAATTACCTATTGTCAGGTCAAAAATAATTTATAACTGCTTCATCCAATGTTTAGGAGTTTTGGTGTTTTTTATATACTAGTAGTTTTCATTAATATTTTGAATTAGCTTTTATTTTTACATTTAAAAAAAATATATATTATTAATTATTATTTTAATATTATTATTAATTAATTACCAATGTCAGGTCAGTTTAGTTTTTATTACTATTTTTTCCACAGTTTTATTTTAATTTTAGTTTGATTTAATTAATTATTATTATTAATACTATTATTATTAATTTTCTAATTAATTACTAATTGTCAGGTTGAACATTTATTTAATAACCGCTCCATTCAGTGTTGATGAGCAGTGTTTTTTTAGTATTATCAATGTGCTGTTATAGTTTTTATTTTTATATTTTCAGTTTTCATTTTAATTTTAAGTAATTTTGTATGTGCTTTTTAAAATATTGCTATTTGGGTTAAAAAAAATTTTAGTTCAGGTTTAGTGTTGGTTCAGTTTTAAGTTGAGTAATTGTAGTGTATTTTCTGTATTTTCTTCAGCAGCGTGAGCCGTATCTGATGTATGTTAAAGTGAAAGTAAAACTGTGAAGTGTCCTCAGTGATGTTATATAAGATCAGCTCACAGTTACTGTCAGTGTGAGTTTCCCAAGTACACAGACCGAGTGTAAATATGATCTCAGGACTGGTCCTTCTGCATTTGTTTGCAGCTTCTGATCACAATCGCCTTCAATCAACCTGTCAAACTCTTCTCCTTGAAACTGCTGGCTGCAGAATTAGGTAAGACGTCCATATCATTTATAATACATATATAATATTTATATATTATATAAAAAAAATCAATATAAATACAAAAAGTAA